CACCCTCTCTCACACAAACATGTAGACACATCACACACAATCACCGATCTCCCCACCGGCAACCTATTTGGCCGACGTTCGTCGCCACTGCAATCACCCGTCGCCGCTGCAAGTCGCCAGTTGCCCGTCATCCCACTTGAGCCACCACCTTCCTCAGCCGCTACCGCATCTTTCCGTCGCCGACCTCAAAGCGTGCCGCCTCTGACTGGGAGCACCAATCGACTGCCGTTGCTGCACACTACTTGTTGCCGGCCCGTCTAAGGATACCGACGAACGAGGACGGCTCTAATCGATTAGCCGAAACCCTAACCAATCAGCTCCAATCGATCTCGTCCAACAAACCTCTCACCTTGAAGCCCTACCGCCGATCGCCCACACGGCGAATGGCCTGCGGCCTCATCTCCCACGTCAAAATCGAAATCAAATTCGGTCTCTCCAACTTCATCTTCTCGCATCCCGACGGCTGGACTCGCCGGCAACCACCGGCGGATGTTGTTCAACCTGGTCGACAGATTCAAAATCAGATTTGGGGCTTGGGTGATTTGTTGAAAATTAGATAGTTTTTAGGGGCTCTTTAGCTATTTTAACAATTTTGGTCATACTGCAATTTAAAATATGGCCAATTCTGTAATTAACGAAGAGTTAGAAAAAAGTATTATTTTGAATAATTTTTTTATACATAAATATTAAATAATAATATTAAAAAATATAATATATTTATATAATATAAATAATAATTATTTCAATTATATTATTTAGATAAATAATGTAATAATAGTTATTATAAAATATAATTAGTATAAAATAAATAATATTATATTTTTTTATAATATAAATATTTTTAAATGTCTTTCAGTTTTTTTTTATATATGCAATTGGATTGCACAGTAGTGTTTGATGTATTGCACGATAGTGACTGTCAGAACGCACTTTAGCGACTATAAAATCGTCTGAACTAAATTCATTTATTGTAATTTTAGGTTTTGGTCAATTATGTATTGTTTCACTTTTAAAAACAAATATACATTGTACTCTAACATCATTTATCAACACAAAACACGAGTATGATAACGTACCAAAGTTATCGTTTTACACACCATCATGTTGCACTTACAAAACAACAAATTGCACTTTACAAACCAATATATTGCACTTTACGACAATTACCAAACTCACTTTGTTTTTCAATCAAAAATAATATAAAAATTAATAAATAAAAAATAGTAAAATATTAAATATAATTTTAATATAAATAATAAATTATTTCGATTATTTAGGATAATCGGTTAACCGAACATAAAAAAAATAAACAAATAATTTAGTTTGGTTTCAATTTTATTTGGGACAAGATTTTGTTATAATCAATATGCACAATACCGGCCGACACAGTGCATCTTGTATTAGATGATTCGCACACTAATATCTGCTAGATTGCAAATTATATAGAATATTACATTTATTAATAAAAAATCATAATATAAATTATTAAATCAACAAATATTACAACACTAGTTATGTTTTTATACAACAAATAATATTTATTTCTATTATTCCGGTCATAATATTACTCAATATAAATTTATAAAACGTATCTACATAATATTTTAATATCCATCACATAAAAAAACATAAGCATGGTAACGTATCAAAATTTCATTATTGCATCTTATATATAAATATATTGCACTTTATACGACAGTACATTCTACCTTGTAACACAACATGTTGCACCTTATAACACAACATGCTACATCTACCAAATTGCAGTAAGAATGCTAATCGATCGAATAATATTATTTGGTTAAAAAATAAATCATTATAATATTAAAATAATATATATATCAGCCCATCCATAAAACAACACAAATATGCTAACGTACCAAAATTTGAGTATTGCACTATATACATATTAATACATTGCACTTTATACAGCAATTCGTTGCACCTTATAACACAGGGTGTTGTACCGTATAAAACAACACGTGCACATACCAAAAAATACGATAATTATAATATTTTTTATTCCATTAATAGTTTTTTGCCATTTAAAAAATACGGTAGATACGTTGCACCTTATAACGAAAATAACCGGAAGGACCAAACTATATAAAAAATAATATATATTTTTTATTTTATATCAAATATTTTTTTCAATAAAAAATAAATAAAATGTTAGATAAAAAATTAAGATATATATATATATAAATACATTACACTTTATACAGCAACTCGTTGCACCTAATAACACAGATGTTGCATCGTATAAAACAACACGTTGCACATCCCAAAAAATACGAAAATTATAAAATTTTTTGGTTCGATTAATATTTTTTTACCATTTAAAACAATACGGTAAATACGTTGCACCTTATAACGGAAAATAACCGGATCGATCAAACTATATAAAAAATATTATTTTTTAATCTTTTATATAAAATATTATTTTAAATAAAAAAACAATATTTTTTTAATAAAAAAATAACTAGATTCAGAATTTGTATTTCAATTCAATTATAGTTTATTTGTATTTTTTCTTTAATAATGCTTGGAATTGATGTCAATCAATTAATAGTAATAGTGCTTGGAAATTGGAATTGATGCCAGACAATTAATAGGCCTACCTCTAGGAAACCACACATAATTAACACATAAATACAATTGGACTATTATGAAATCCTGAAATTGCTATTAAGTCCTAAGGAATGTTAAATTTTCAAAATAAAGTCCAAAATGAAATCCTATCGTCTAATTTACAGCAACCCATTTCAGCCCCAATTCCATTCATCTTCAGCCGCGCCGCCGCCGTCCTTGTTACCAAACGCCGCCTCCGCCTCCGCCGCCGCATTCGTCGTCACCAAACGCCTCCTCGCCGGCCAATCGATACCGACGACGTCCTCAGTCCAGACAACCAGAAAAAAAAAAGAAGCAAAAAACAGTACAGCAATTCTCCTCGCCCGCCATCGCGGAGATCTGGCAACCACCTCAGTAGATCTGGCAACCACGTCCGTCTCGTCATCAACATTCTCATCCTCCGCCGCCGTTGACAACCTCTGCGGCTACCGGAGTTCCACTCGTTCTCCACCTATTGTCCGGCATCTGAGCAGCACGCCTCTGCGTCCGGGGGCCGGGAGCGGCCACGCCGTCGTCTCGGGGAGCACCAATCGTCCGGCCATTGGTTCTGTTGATGGCGGCAGCGAGCGGTGGAGCCACGACCTGTGTGTTGGCGGCCGGAAGTGACCACGTGTAACCGCAGCCTGTGTGTAGGCGGAGCACCTGTTGTCCGGCATCTGAGCGGCACTTCTCTGAGTCCGGCCGCCGGAAGTGGCCACGCCGTCGTCCGGTGTGTGTGCAGGTGTGTGTGTGTCTGGTGCGTGCGTGTGTGTTCATATGTGTGTTGTGTGTGTTTGTGTGAGAGAGAGAATATGGTAGTGGTGTTAGTGGTGGGGTCCACTTGGTATGTGCAAATGTCTTACTTACCCTCGATTAGTGCTAAATGTTTATATTTAACCATGCTATATATAATTATTTACAATAATGCCATTCGTGTTGACTGCCACTAATTGAATTTTGACTTGATCATGACCACATGATTGATCGATCCTATGGTACAGAATCATTCTTATTTCTTTCACTATCTACCATTCTCACATGATCCCATCTATATATATATATATATATATATATATATATATATAGGGGACGGATCCAATGAGACCACTCCTTAAAATGAGTACGTGAGACTCAATCTTAGCCACTCATTTTGTCTAGATCAAAATCAATTAAAATATACATTAATTAAATAATAAAATAATTAATAGTTGACTCCGGCGTTGACCGTTGACTCCGACGTTGACCGTTGACTTCCGACGTTGACTTCCAGCGGGAATCGTTGACTGCCGGCGTTGACCGTTGACTTCCGGCATTGACCGTTGACTTTCGGCGTTGACCGTTGACTTCCGACTTTGACCCGTTATATTGAAATAAATAACCTACCAACAAAAGACACTCAACCTTGAGTGGTGTAGTGGTTGCATTGCTTGTCTTGCGTCCATGAGGTACTAGGTTCAAATCCTATGGGTTACAATTTTTTTATAAAAAAAAATACAACTAACTTAGCAACATCAGACAACTAACCTAGCAACAAGACACAACTAACCTAGCAGCAAGAAAGAACAACTAAACTAGCAACAAACACAACTAACCTAGCACCATCAGACAACTAACCTAGCACCATCAGACAACTAACCTAGCAGCAAGAAAGAACAACTAAACTAGAAACAAACACAACTAACCTAGCACCATCAGACAACTAACCTAGCACCATCAGACAACTAACCTAGCAGCAAGAAAGAACAACTAAACTAGAAACAAACACAACTAACCTAGCACCATCAGACAACTAACCTAGCACCATCAGACAACTAACCTAGCAGCAAGAAAGAACAACTAAACTAGAAACAAACACAACTAACCTAGCACCATCAGACAACTAACCTAACCTAGCAACAAAACACAACTAACTTAGCAGTATCAGACAACAAACCTAGCAACAAAACACAACTAACCTAGCAGCAAGAAAGAACAACTAAACTAGCAACAAACACAACTAATCTAGCACCATCAGACAACTAACCTAGCACCATTAGACAACTAACCTAGCAGCAAGAAAGAACAACTAACCTAGCACCATCAGACAACTAACCTAGCAGCAAGAAAGAAATAACCTAGCAACAAAAGACAAAAAAACAGCAAGAAAGAAAAAATGCTCCTCCTTCTCTCTAGAATTCTCTCTCTAAGATTTTCACCTTTCGCCACTACCCACCACCTCCCATCCGCCAACATCACCTCCACCACCTAGCCTTTACCCAGTCGCCGCCGCCGGCGGCTTGGCCCTAGGGCCGCCGGGCCCTTTTCTTCCATTTATTCCTTCCCGTTCATCTCCATGGAACCATCTCATCCCCCTCACAATCTTAATACAAACGGCCTTCCACCGACACTCCTTAAATTATTTCAATGCCCAGATTTTCAGCATATTGTCTCGGAATATTTGAGCAAAAAATCTCCATTAGAAGAAGGAGAAATTCCGTCTATGACCGGCCACCATCGCATATCCGAGTCTCAGCTAACAAAT